TAAGGTGTAGAGATGATGGATGGATGGATGTATTTCCTAATCAGCTGTTTAGTTGTTCAAATTGTCTGGACTCTTTTTTTGGAGGAACTCGTAGCTGTGCTGCAGTTCTGATGCGTTCTGCAGACAGAACCGTGCTGGCATGTCCAAAGCATTTCTGCATTCTCAGATTTACTCCACGAGGAACATCACTGGTCTTGTTCACCACATTTTCTTCTATTTTTATAAAAACATTCACCCACTGGCGGAGGTGTAAATGTTTTTCCCAGAACCACCTCCTACAGACAGATGCAGACGTGTTTGTGAGTCTGCTCTGGGTTAAATGTCAAACGTCTGAGTTTTACACCTGACATCATCGCAGAGTTTAAACGTTCCTCATTACACGGTAAAACTCCAGCGTATGTGTTGATTGAAGGCCAATTTGAATGCCAGCCAGTAAATTGCAACGGGCATTAGCGGCGGGTCAGACGGGTCATGAGGCTCGATTCACAATCACCCACAGCTAATTACTGCACACAGAGAAATATGAACTCTTTATGGCAGAATAACTAACGCACTGGATGGCTAACCAATGCTAATAAGACAAACTGCTTGCTTTACCTTTATCGCCGTCGTTTGATATCTTGCGTAGGTCGATGAAGTGGGTTCCTATGGCAACGTCGTTGACCTTATCAGAGTCTCTTATCTGGACTTTTAGCCTCTTGCAGAGCGGAGGGAAGAGCTCGGTGAAGACGACCTGCTCGTTCCAGATCGGTTCATAGCTGCTCTTCTGGACTGAAGTCTTTCCCTGGAGACACATGACGGAACAAAACTGAAGTCGCAGACGTGGAAAATACAAATATGGTCCTCACGGTGGCAGAGATAACTGCTTCAAGTCTGTGTTCATATGTTTTCAGGTTTATAAACTGAAAGAGTTTCTGTTCTCTGTAGTTGTTTCTTACGCTCAAAACTGGCTCAGAGGAGATTCTTTTATTTTAAAGCATGTTCAGTGTAATAGATGAAACAAACTCAAGCAGATATCTGTCAAAGTCGTTCTACTACTAAATGTCCTCTGTGTGTAGCAGCTAAACCCTTATCCGCTGAAGAGGGAGTTTCAGACAGTAAAGAGAGAGAGAATAAGGGCTGAGTGCTGGTTCCAATAAAATCCCTTTTATGGAACAATCTCTTCACAGCCACTATGAATGATGACACCACAGGAGTACTGATGTCTGCAGGTCAAACCCTCTTTAATGCTGATGTGGGTCAGTGTCGTACAGACGCTAATAAACGTCAACCTTTTGTTGAACACGTGGCCACTATCCATCTACAGCCGTATATGTTGAACAAGTTGTCTCCAATCAGTGAATCATTAACGGGGATTTAATGATGCTGAAGCAATTAAAGCAGCTTTTAAACAAGACCTACCAACTTCATCCCCTCCTCCTTCACCTCTCGTTATCCTTCTGTTTTATTTCCCTTTAATATTAGTGGGTATTTATAGATGGTAGAAATGCTTTGTGAGAATGGCTTGATGCTGATTTACATTCTTAAAAACTTTACAACAAGCTTTTCTAAAACTTTGGCTGCTCAGTGGTGCTAAAATATTTAGCACAGGGATAAAATCTTAATGGCTGTCTAAACAAACGGTGCCTGGTGCTCCTCTATAGATATAGTTTGTCTTACTTTCACTATTTGAGCCCCTTTAGACCTCCTACAGATATCCACACTTGTACACAATGTCAGGAACGGTTCCTGGTGGAGGATTGCCAACTGAAGAAAGAGCAGCAGGGAGCAGGATGTGCAGGAAGCTACCTTCTGCCCAGCAAACTGCACTTGAACGTAGGGGTCCACCAGGTCTCTGTTCTCTCCTATAAAGGCCTTTTTCACATTAGCCATGATGCTGGTGTTCATTTTGGGAAGCCCCTCGGCGCGGTAGATCTTCACATAAAACCTGGCCCACTGCCGCTCTGCTGGGATTCCCTCTGGGAGCAGCAGGTTTCTGGAAGACACACAGCAGAACAGTAAACAGAAAGAAGTTAGTGAGTGCATCTGAGAAAAGCAGAATGTAAGAATGTTTGTACACATGTTGCAGTACTCACCCTTCTATGTCGTCCTCATCCGTCTCGTTGGCCTTGTGCGGGGTCTTGATGTTGTCGCCCTTCCCAACCACGGCGATGTCACACTTGATGTACCCTTTGCACCCCGCTGTGATGTCATCAGGGTCAGACAGGATGGCCCACTTGTGGTAGAACTGATGTTCTGGGATCAAACAGGCAGTCGGTCAACCAACACGGCAAACTGAAGAGAAGCTGTATGGTCATGTTTACACAGAGAGTGGTTCTGGTGTAAAATGTTCTTTATTTTAAAATATGAAACTGCACACAGGAGCAGTTTTTATTGTTTTCTCATTGGAGCTACAGCTTGTAGTTTACCAGGCTGAGAGTAAACAGTCCCGACGTCCATCTTGAAGGTTCCCACCAAGGTCCCGCTCCGGAGAAGGTTTTTAGAATGAATAACCTAATTAGACAGAAATTAAAATTAGATAGATAGATAGATAGATAGATGATAATGTCTTCTAGATTTTACATGAGGAAGTTCTGTTCTTAGATCATTAAATGTTCTAATTAATGCAATAACCAGCAACATCTTTAAAAGTCTTTTTACACTTTTCCTCATAAAGTGTCGGCTGTATTAATATCTCATCAGTGCCATTAAGTATTAAGGAGTAATCTGGGTTTTAATGTAAGGCTGGTGTTTTAACAGCCTGTGTAGTAGAACTCCACACAACACGAGGAGGGCGTCGGTTTGTGCAGCCGCCCTGCAGCGTGAACACTTTGTGCTCCGCATTACTCACCGACAGTTTGATGATCTTGTCGAACATGACATCAGGAGGGACGTGGAAGTCAAACACGAAATACTGCAGAGAGAAGAGAAGAAGATTTTCCATTAAAGCGTGTTGACTTACGGTGAACACTTCCTCCTTGAAGATTCGCTCTGGGAGTAAAACGCACCGATTGTTTGGAGATAACTTTAAAGTCCAGAAAATATCAATATAGAGTTTAACGTCTGAGCTGCGGGACAGATAAGAAGTGGTGACCTTCACATTAGCTCTGCAGGAGATCAGCTGCCTTCATCTGGTCTTAAATTTAGAGAATAAAGTTTCACTGGGAGCCACAAAACAGAGCCACGGTTCTGTTGAAACATGTATTATTTTGGTAAAACACAGCTCCAGTGCTTCCAGCTTTAAATCCGCAGTTTCTGTGCTCTAGGTGTCAACGTAAAGCTACACTGCAGGTTGTGTGAACCTCGTCCTAAACGAGGCTACAGACTGAAGCGAGTGGGCTGAACAGAGACGTTCACGACGTCACTCTGGTTCTGTTTGTGTCTCTTGTATGATTTTGCTGTTTGAGTTTGTCATTTTGCATTTTCTTCCTAGTATTTACCCTTAGCTTTAAATCTCTCAACAACACACCTGTATTTGGTTTATGCTGGAGACAAAGCGAGGTTTTCTTTACCAAAGCTTCCTCCTACTCAATAATAAAGTCCTTTTCCTGGCATCGATGTATTTGTGTTTGTGAGACTGTCATTGCTGCAGTCTCAAGGTGGACCTGCTCAGCCGTGGTGAAGGCTGCTTATTTACATATAAAAACATCATGCAAACAAGGCAAAAAAACAAACAAAACAAAAACAACTTATTAGCAGCAAAAGCAGGATCCTTAACATCCCCGCTTTGACTTTGAATTTTTAAAAAAAAAAAGTTGAAAAAGTCTCTTCAAACAGATGCTAAGTGTCCATACGGTGTGATCTTAACACACAAGTACAATTCAGGCTATAACATAAATAAAACTTAAGACCTGGAAGAAAAAGTGGTGACATATATTATGGAGTAGTGAGAGTGCCAAATTACAAAAATAAATCAATAAAAGAATAAAAAATGAAAGTGGAAATAAAAAGAAAAAATATAACATTGATTAATTTATATTATTATTTTATTTTTAAAATTTATTTTTAAAATTTATTTTTAATCATTTTTATTTTTTAATTTTATTTCATTTTAAAAAAAATATTTTTAAAGTTATTTTTCTTAATTTTTTTGCTTTTAAAACATTTAATTTAAAGCTTTAAAAGCAAAAAAAGAGAAAAAGTCGTTTTAAATTAAATGTCACTTTAAAAGCAAAAAAAGCGAAAAATAATTTAAAAAATAACTTGAAAATAATTTTAAAAATAAAAAAAATGATAAAAGATAATTTAAATAAATAAATAAATAATAATAATTAACTTTTTTTTTTTTTTTTTTTTTTTTTTTTCCCTTTTTTTTTTTTTTTATTCTTTTGTCAGTTTATTTTTGTAATTTGGCACTCTCACTACTTCATAATATACTGTATTATGGTAAGTCTTATTTTTTATTTTTTTATTTTTTTAATCTTTCAAACCTGAAACAAATCAAAACATGTGAAATGTGATATTGAACAGCAACTCTCCTGATAATGGCACTCTTCCAGTATAACCAGTGACCCTCTACAGACCAGAGATGATTCAGTTTTCCCTCAGCAGCTGATTCCAGATGATCATTCCTGAGCAGTGTGACAGCAGCTGAGATGTGAGCAGAGAGCTGAAGGACTGTTATTCTGATCAATCCTGTCTCCACTCTGTCTGTCGACTGGGGCCTTTCAGCGAGACAGAAGAATCGATTACAGACAAACTGTCACTTCTGCTACCTGTGGGGCTCAACAAAGAGGCTGAGCGCTGCGTGAGCTGGTGCTGATTCTAACGGGTTCTCTGCTGTTCAGGAACACTCTCACCAAGAACGCTCTGGTTCAGACAACAACCATCTGCAGTGTTTTAAAGTCAGTGAAGAATTACTGAATGATATTATCACAGAGAAGCCCGGCAGCCTCTGGGTTCTACTTTGTCAGGGTTGACTGATGTCTTCTGCTTCCACCGGTCCTGCCTTTTCACTGCGACCCACAAACACGACAAAACGCTGCTTTAAAACCAAAACAATGAGCCCAAAGAAGGTAAAACGCTCTACAGAGCTGAGGAGAACTCTAATTGATGGATAATTAGTTGATAATTACGTGTGGATTCAAAACTATAACATAATCCTGTGATCCATGACGACGCTCAATAAGCTAAATGAACAATCAATAAGCAATCAATCTCTCTGAGGTTATGACAAGTTCAAATGAAATTATGTTCAACCAACAAACTACGCTGAGTTTGTGAAATTAGCCTTTACAGTTAAATGTATTTTTAATTACTTAATGATTGGTGCATAAACAGAAGTCTTCAAGTTGATTACTTGTAAAATGAAGCTGGACCAACTCATGTTTTTACATTATTTTAAATGGTTTCCTAAAAACCTGTCGGACAGCAAGGTTTAGGATTGTTAAGGGTCGGATTATTGAGTCACGACTGTCAGCTTAGGCAACCAAGCTGTAACACTACACAAGTTGAACAACGTTTTATGGACAAACAACATGAGGGATGAGGTGAAGCTGGCATTCAGAGGAAACAAAGCTGAAAAGGTCTCGCCTCGTTGTAGTACGGGCAGTTGGTCGACTCCTTCATAGACGTGTACTTCTTGTCGTCTCCGATCTCCACGCACACCACCGGGTCCATGTTGAGGCCGATGAGCTGTCGGGCCTCGATCACCGTGATGCTGATCTGATGGGAGACGTTAACACATCAGATCCTACCGGGAACCTTCAACAAGCTGACTTTCCTCCAACGCTGTCATCATAAATCATTCAACTTACTGCACGATAATTACCCCGAAGACAAGTCTAAGAAAAACTATCCCAACTAATGACTCCAAGTGTTGGGGGGCTTTTGTCTGACTGCACTATTTCAGCGTGAGATTGTCCTCTGACATCTCCCCGGGCTGAAGCAACGCAGCACTCGATGGACAAACTAGAAACAAGCTGAAGGTTTCTGCATCCAAGCAGCATCCCTCTGGTTTAATTAGGCTTTGAATGATGAAGAGGAACAGAGGGAAGCAAAGAGGGAGCGCAGCCCCGCGATTACAACAAGGTTTCACTCTGGTGTGCACAAGTGTTCATGTTTGAAATTAAATAGACCATGAAAGTAGGCCAAGGGCTAGCGCTGGAGCTACGCTGTGCTGTGTTCTCATTGATTTATCGTGAATGCAGTGAGAGCAGGCAAACAGCCACGACGGCAGTGAAAACCAGGATGCATGTCTGCACTTTGATGTCTGCAAAAAATTAAACAAAGTGTGAAATTAGTGAGCAGCATGTGATCGCCTGTGGACAGAAAAGAGCTAGCTGTGCTAAGCTAACGGACCTTTTGCTAACAGAGGGAACAGGCAGAGGTGTTAATGTTGTCGTGTAACTGTGGGCAAGAACATGGAAACGAATACTGCACAAAATGTCATGAAGTGTATGGTTGGAGTCAGAAGATGATTAATTCAGCTTCGTATAAAGACAGAAGGAAAGGGGAATATGTGGCTTGTCTCCTTTTTAAAGACGATTATGGGATGTATTTCTTTGATAGCAACAGTTTTTCCCACCGTACGGCATTTTCTTCTTTCATTTTCTGTATAAATTAAATAAACAAGATGCAGCATGCTAATTAGTGAGTCTGAAGCTCACAACTAGGAGGACTTTAGAACTTTAGAAGGCTAGCCGTTTCCACCTCCCACCAGAGTTTATGCTAAGCTAAGCTAATCACCTCCAGCTCCCCTTCTTTAAAGCTTTAAAGTCCTCCTAATTATGAGTCCAAAGTTGAAAATTAGGAGGACTTTAGAACTTTAAAGAAGGCTAGCCGTTTTCACCTCCTACCAGTGTTTATGCTAAGCTAAGCTAATCATACACACCTGGTAATCCACCGGTCGTCCAGAGCTCGGCTCCATCTTGATATCTGGCTTTGACCTAAAGAAACGTGACACAATCAGTGATTTTCCTGCAGTGGATTAGCAAACAGAGCAATGAAATGGGAAAAAATGTCAAATTTTTCTGACTCCAGCTTCTTAAATGTGAATATTTTTCTAGTTTCTTTCCTTTTCTGTATCAGAAAACTGAATATCTTTGTGTTGTGAACGAAATAAGACATCATAAGACGTCATCTTGGGCTGTTTGAAACATTTTTCACCATTTTCTGACATTTTATCAACCAAACAACTACGACAAAATAATCAACAGATAATTTAACAACGAGAACAATCGTTCGTTTGAGGCCTGGTGGGTCTCCTGGGCTCCATCGGTGGACAACGGAGGAAGCATGTGTGCTTCAGCCTACTTCTGAGTTTGAATCTCAGATGAATACGAGATTTTTCAAGCTGTAAGTTTAAATGTAGAAGAACACAGTATGAGATTGTGCAGTCAGCTTCAGTTGATTAGAATCCTCCACTGAGATCTCCTCGTTTGTTAACTGGGAAAACACCTTCAGATTACTGCAGACATTTTGCAGAATCCGGGCAGCTTGAATTCAAAACACAGGCCGTACGTCTTTGTTACTCGTAGGCCCGCCTCCACAGAAGCTGGGTCAAACCTATTCAGCAGCAGCGACCTGAAGAAACCGCCTTTGAAGGAACTGCTTGCAAAGGACTCTGGGCCCTTCAGGGTTTTCCCTTTTCAAGTAATTGGAACCAACACAGTCTTTTTTCTCTGGTCACGAAACCAGAAGTAATCGCATCGCATTAGACAGCATTTTATGACGGACTTTCTGGTTCCTCTCCGGGTGTGTTTGGGTTCTGTCTCTGCTGCGTGTGCATGTGTTATCTGTATATAACCTCTTGTTGGACACGTTGGTGGTGACGGCGGTGACCGAGGCCAAAGAGATGGTGTCTGGGTCCAGCGTGCCGGCGAGACGCATCGCTTTCCTGTCCAGGTCCTCCATGTCCAGGACTGCCGGCTCATCTGCTCAAACATCAAGCACAACACCGATTAGAGAGGAACATCTTCAGGCCTCTGGTGTTTTTAGTTTAAAAATTCCACCACTTTTAAACCCACACGTGAATAAATAATTCAGCAGCTTCTAATCTGAATCGCACTTTTGTCCAAGATTCAAACAAAAATGAACAAAGTCATGAACGAGGCCCTGCGCCGTGTGATGCTTTACCTCCTTTCTTGTGGTCGTCTTTAGAGCTCTTGATCTTGCCGAGCTTCATGGCTGAGAAGACCCCCTTCCCTGCTCTGGTGACGAAACAGTGAGAATGAGAGGAGATAAGAGGGAGGTGATATCAGGAAGGTGACCAGTTTCACACTTGTCTTGTAAAGTTTGCTCTCCATCAGGAGGCACGTTTAATAAGAAACTGGTTAACATTAAACGCTGAACTTGGCTTTGTGTGCATTCCTAAAGTGCAACTCAACACCATCCATATATCGTGGACATCTCTGTGCCTCGGCTGGACATTTAATTCCAGTTGATTTAATCCCCCCCCCCCATCACCACCAACCAATTCTCCAGACCCTCAATCACAAAACAAGAGTATCCGATGTCTCCACATTGATATTATCTGGATCACGTATCACCGCGGCAACAAAGGGCTCGTGATGTCATCAGCGGGTCGACAAATGAGGGGCCTTAATAATTAAAAATGAGTGTGACCGTCCAATTTGCTGCGGATATGGATACATGTCAGGAAATTAATGAATAGGAGGGTTTTCCTTTTGTTTCCTCGAGCATTCAGAGTCGAGTGTATCAGAGTTCACGTCTGCTCTGATCTCGTCTCCATTCTTCTGAAGCAACCTTCAACCCCGACTCATGGAATATGGAAAACTCCGTGACGGCATCTCGGCTGACAGGTTCACGGCTAAGTGACACTGCGTTTTGAGATTAACAATCTAGACTGAATGGGAGGAATAAAGACTCACAAAATGTTGGGAAACATCTCTTCAAATATACTCAGAAACTTCCTCCCATCATGTAACAGCAAATAAAGGACGTTTGGTTTCTCAGCGTACATCTGGTCTAAAGAGCAAAGTCTGACCACTTTAATCCCACCTGGTAGGCTGAATTAACAGATCTGCATCCAAAACCATCATCTACTTACAAAAAAAATGACCAATCAATCAATTAGAATAAACAGACAATCATCAATTAAGTCAAGAAACGTCATGTCTGTGAGTGTTGGCTGGAGCTTGAGACCAACTGATTGACTGAAAAAACTATTTGATAATGAAAATGACTTTCATCCATAGCTGACCCCAAGTTCAGACGCTCCAGTAATCCAACCCATTTCTTTGTCTCTCTAGGATTTAACTATAAGCTGCCAGACGAACACACACACACACACACACACACACACACACACACTCATTCCAACACAATGTTTGTAAAGTGTTCTCCATACGTACCATATGAAAGACACCACAGAGAGGTCAGATCCCCTTAAATCCACCCCAAGCTCGGTCCTATTCTAAACTATATCTCCACGTGCTTCACCTGCCAGGTGCAGGTTGGAGCAGACCAGCCAGGCAGGTGTCAGCTGGACAGATGAATGGATGGTTCAGGGCAGAGAGGAGGGAAGGGAGGTGGAGAGACCAGGTTGGAGATACAAAGAGAGGAGGAGGAGGAGGAGGATGAGGGGAAGGATGGAGGGGTTGGACTCGGCACCAATAAAGACGACCTGTGTTGTACTTTTGTGTTTTCGCTTTATTCTAACTGCAAGTAATTTGGTTTGTAAAGGCTCCAAGAAATGTTTACAGGGAAATTACTGCCATCAGTACTGGAGCTCCACATGTAGCCGGAGCATAAAAAACCCCAAAACTATAGATTCCTGGTCAGCTTATTAAAATAAAACAAATCTTACTAAGTGTGGGAATAAGCAAAAACAAGTTTATTGTTTCTGAAGTAGGTAAAACTGCCACCAGAAGAAAACCAAACAGGTCTAACCAGACAGACAAGACCTTTAAAAACATGCTAAATGTCCTGCATGATTTACAATATAGAGATATTTAAAAGTCATACTCCAACACTTGACTCCTAAATAATTAATGAACCCTAAAACGAACGCTGTGCCTTGAAGGAAGCACATTATTTATCACTGAATGCACAACAGGACACACACAACACGGCGTTATGAGTCACGGCACACAGCACCACTGAGTCCAAACAAACGCTGGACTTGCCATGAAGCTGAACAATCCAGAACATAAACCCGGATCAGCAACCATCTGCGACTCTCCCTTCATCACAGAAACTGACTTCTACTCTATTAAAATCATGTTCTGTTTCCTTGTGCTGTTCCTAAATGATCCAAACAACTGATATTTTGTGATCTAACACCTCCATCGTTGAGGTCTTTTTAGGGCCAGAGACCTGAAACTACCTGCTGAAGGTCAGGGTTTGGGCTTTACTGCAGTGTAGGAGGGACAGGTAGGACATCAGTGGGGAAAGAGAAAGACTGGTTGAAATGCAAACATCTAACAAATGCCACGCTACTTCCTGGGAGTCAACATTTGCATGGATGTATATGTCAGGAAAACACACAGTACACAACAGAAGTGAGTGTGTGATATCGCCTCAATGTCAAATGATACAGAACTGTAATTAGATTACTATTAAGTTGAAAAGTTGGATAATTCATCTGAAAAAAATGAAAAAATGAAGGTATAGATTTATATAAAATACAAAGCCAGCAGTACAAACAGAATGCAGTACACCTGTTGTTGTTAGGGTTCAAATGTTGTCTTCTTCAATGCTTTATGCACTTTTCATACATTATGGCAACACAAAGTGCTTTACAGCATTTATGTTGATTTCTGAAGAAGGACGCGACCGTCCTCGGCATGCAGGACGTCACATTTGCTGAGAGATGCCCCGTCATATATTCTTTCAGCTGCTCTTTACTGAAGGCGTTGTGTTTTTCTACCTTTCTTTTTATAAAACACCGTTCTATTGGATTGAAGTCAGGCAACATACATGCAGAAAAATTCCTCTTCTGGTTGATTAATGGTATCAACTGGACCTGCTTGAGTTCCTTGAAGAACATGAACACCTGAGTTTGGGTTTCAAGGACAAAAGACATTCATTTGAAGACAACAATGTCCAGATGTTGGCCTGCAAGGAGGACAGATGGTTTGAGAGAGGGGTGAAAGAAGCCATCTATGTCCACCTGGAAAGACCATCCCTCTGCAGAGGTGGAGGTCTGAGGCATCACCTCTCACCTGTTCAGTCCTAAGATCTCTCCCCAGGAAGATGAACCCACATCCACACCTAGCCACAGAGACCCTAATGAACCCCACTGTGTCAGGGGGAGCACTAACGACTCACATAACGAGGGGGAGGAGCAACAAACCACCAACTGAAACCCAAACTCAGGTGTTAATGTCTCCTTCAGGATATCAGTATGTGGAGCTCCCCACTAGTCAGTCAGAGCTGATGGAGCCTCTTGGATGAAGGTGGAACGTCTTCAAGGAACTCAAGCAGTTGTTATGATTAGTGTACCAGAAGAACCAGGACCTGGAGGACTGAGAACCTTCACAGACATCCTCCTCTTCTGTTAAACTTCTGCAGACTGAGAGTCGTCTAGTCTGTCAGCATTTTGGTTTGTCCACAGGTGTTCACGGTGCGTCTATAAATGTCTTCTGCCCAACACCTTCTGCACAGATACAATCCAGTATCGGCCCGTTGTTACCTCTGGGCTTCACTGTCGGGACCATGCCTTCACAGTGGGAGTCCTGACCATGTTCATGCCAGTTACACTAGACTAGAAATGCCAATCACGGGTTGTTTTAGGGGTTTCTACCTTGTGATCACGTGTTTCCACTTTTGTTCTTGAGTTTTTCACTTTCCAGTACGGTTTTACCAAAGAATTTAGTTCTGATTGTTTGGGATTATTTGACATTTAAGTGATATTGCAGAACATCTGTTGTAGTATACTGTACGTTGGTCAGGTTGTTGAACACACCAAAGGACCGATGCTAGCATTTTATTGGTGAGGACACTCTGCCATATAAAGAGAGGAGAGTCATTGGGAAAAAACAGGAACAAAGCCATCAAACATTTTACTTACTTGTCTTTGGTTCTCTTCATTCTGTTTTCCTTCCCTTTGCTGAGCCAAGCAGAAGTAAACAAACAAACATCAGAGACAAAAGCTTTCAGTAGGAGTCTGAGTTCACAATGAGATGAACCTCGAAAGGTTTTCACGCTTTTTGACAAAAACAAGCCGTCCCTCAGTCCTGATTTAATGATGAAACGTAACCTTGAAAGACTTCAGTTGGAGGCAAAGAAAGTTCACAGCTGGGCTTTCCAATTAGATTAATAGAAATATGCAAATGTAGAGTCTCCAAGCAAAGCTCACAAAATGTCAAACTTTATAAGAAAACAGAGAGTTGTTGAGAAGCTGAAGATGACGGCTTTTATTGTCTCGCTCTTTGATCTGAAGTGCAGACCGTGATTACACCGGCGACAGCACACGCCAACCAAACACGCGAATCAACACCTTGAAAGTGATTCAGGATTTGTAGAAACACCGAGCTCACTAATGCATGAGAAGCACAGCTGTTGCATGTTTAAAAAGAAGCAGAGAAACATATGTACGCGCAGGCTTGAAGGGAGAGCCGTGCTGTACGTCTGGCGGTTATTGTGTGCAAATCAATAATACATGAAAGCATGAATAAATTGTCTCGTTACAGATGTAAATTGCGGCAAAGATGAATGATCTAAGTGATGCAGAATTATTGGCTGACAGCTTTATTTCCATCTTCTGTGTCTGTATATATTATCCTGGCGGTTAATGTGCATGTGCAGCGGTGGGAGAAGGAGCAGAGGGACGAGAGCTGCAATTAACTCAGAGCGCCGGCTTTGAACTCCGTATCGCTGTTGTATCACTGCTGTGACTGATGTGCTGCAAATATTGTCCCCTTTTATCTGCTGCACTGACAGCATGAGAAACCCCTTCAAGTTCTGAACTCTCCACATAACAGACACGCTACAGGCTGATCGCACTGCAGCTGTATGTTTCAGCCATGACAGGCCGGCTTTGATGCATGTTTATCTGCTTTGTGCTAATCAGCTCTCACCTTATCTTCCTTTTAAATGATAAAGGTGGATCTACTGCTATTCATGAGTGACAAAAAAAACGTCATTACTCCCATAGAAACGTATGATATTCATTTCTATGCAGACGACACAATCTTGTACGTATGTGATTTTTCTTAAATTTGATCCATGTCTCGATGTAGTCTGT